AACTATAGATTTAACACAATATTAAAATCAAAATCACAGTGGGCTATTTTGTACAAATCATTAACTGATCCTAAAATTTGTGCAAATATAAAGGATCTAGAATATCCAAAGCAATCTTGAAAGAGAAGAACAAAGTTGGAAGACATAATATCTGACTTCAAGACTTACTGTAGTAATCAGGACAGTGAGAATACAGGTTTAGGATAGACACAAATCAACAAAACAGAGTCCATAAGTAAACTCTTATGTGTATGGTCAATATTCAACAAAGGTGCCAATTTAATTTCATAGTGGAAAGGAAAATCTTTTCAACAAATGGTTCTGGTCAATATTCAACAAAGGTGCCAATTTAATTTCATAGTGGAAAGGAAAATCTTTTCAACAAATGGTTCTGGAATCAATGAGTAATTATGTATATAAAACATACAAAATGCAGAAATAGACTTAAATGTAAAACCTAAAAATAAAAAACTCTGGGCAGAAAACAAAAAAGAAAAGCTTTGCAACCCGATTTAGGCAAAGATTTATTAGATGTAACACTGAAAGTATAATCCTAAAAAGGAGTGGGGGAAGGGAGGGGAGGGGAGGGGAAAGGAGGAGAGGAGAGAGGTAATAAATTAGATCCCATCAAAATTAAACTTGTTCGGGGCTGGGGATGTGGCTCAAGCGGTAGCGCGCTCGCCTGGCATGCGTGCGGCCCGGGTTCAATCCTCAGCACCACATACAAACAAAGATGTTGTGTCCGCCGAAAAACTAAAAAATAAATATTAAAAAAAAAAATTCTCTCTCTCTCTCTCTCTCCTCTCTCACTCTATCTTTAAAAAAAAAATTAAACTTATTCTTCAAAAGACATTATTAAAAAAATGAAAGAAGCCACAGATTAGGAGAAAATACTGGCAAATCTTACATCTGATAAAGAATTTAATTCAGAATATATAAAGAACTCAAACAATTCAAGAATAGAGCACAATCCTCAATTTTTAAACTTTCCCCCACCCCTTCAATGCTAGGGATTGAACCCAGGGCCTTGCACATGCTAGGTAAACACTCTACCACTGAGCTATACCCCCTAACCCACAATCCAATTATTAAAAATGGGCAAAAAAACAGGGCACAGTAACACACACCATACTTCCAGCTACTCAGAAGGCTGAGGCAGGAGGATTGCAAATTTGAGGCCAGCCACAGCAACTTGGCAAATCCTGTTTCAAAATTAAAACTAAAAGCACCGGGATATAGCTCAGTGGTAGAGCTCCCTGGGTTCAATCTCTGGTACAAAAAAAAAAAAAAAAAAAAAAAAAGAATTGCAAAAGATTTAAACAGACATTTCACCATTTCACCACCAGAAAAAAGGAAAAAAAAAACCAAGGAATGAATAACAAATAAGCACAAGGAAAAATCATTAATTACATTACCATGACATCATTAGTCATTAGGAAAATGCAAATTAAAAGCAAAAGATAACACTTCACAGTCACTAGGATGATAATAATAATAATAATAATAATGAAAAGACTGACCATCCCAAGGTTAGCAAGAAGGTAGAAAAACTGTCTTTACATAATGCTGATGGAAAGATAAAACAATTGAGCTGCCTTTGAAAACACTTTGGCAATTTCTTTGAGATGTTAAACATACACTTACCATGTGACCCAGCAATCCCATTCCTAGATATCTATACAAAAGAAATGAAAACACACATCTACATTAAGTCCTGGACATGAATGGTCACAGCAGCATATTTTATAATAGCCCAAAATTGGAAACAACCCAAATATTCATCAACTGATGAATGGATGCATGAACTAAATGTGTTATATCCATACAATGGAAAATCATTATTTAGCAATAAAAAGGAGCATGCAACTGACACGTGATACAATATGAATGAATTTCAGAAACATTATGTTAAAAGACAGGGGCAAGTTGGGTGCAGTTGTACATGCCTGTAATATCAGTAACTCATAAGGCTGACGGAGAAAGATCACAAGTTTGAGTCCAGTCTCAGCAATTTAGCAAGGCCCCAAACAACTTATTGAGACCCGGTCCCAAAATAAGAAATGAAAAGGGCTGGGGATGTGGCTCAGTGGTTAAGCGCCCTGGGTTTAATCCCTGGTACCAAAAATATAAACAAACAAATAAAGCAACAAAAATCTTCAAATTATAATTTCATTCATATAAAATTTCTAGAAAAGACAAAGCTTTAGAGACAGAAGATTAGCAGTTGCTTGGGGCTAAAAGTGGCTATTAATTGCAAATAGAGGGAACCTTTTGGGTGATGGAAATGTTCTAAAACTGGGAATGTGGTATGGCTGCACAGATATATAAATTTATTAAAACATAATGGTACACAATGATGAATGAAATTAACAGTAATGCTTCAATAAAGCTGTTTAAAAAAGAAAGCTGATTGATGAAGCAAATGTAGTAAAARATCGGCAATTAAAAACCTGGATGGCAGATATATGGATATCCACTGTACAACTTTTTCAAATTTTTAGATGTTTATAAGTTTTCATATTAAAAGAGGGGGAAAGTTTGTCAAACTATTTCAATAGCAATCGCATGCATTAACAAATATCACAATATACTAATGGCTGACCTTTATACTACTGTATCAAATAACTTGGACTATTTCTTCAAAAATAAAAATTCCCCTTTAGAGTTTTAACATACTTTTAATTAAAGGTTGATTATACATTATGAATTCTAGTATAAAGCTATATAATTTCCACACAGGTTTACAATGTTAAGAACTTCAGCACTTTGGCCTTTCCCAATCTCCCTGACCAAACTTTCTTAGTTTCCCACTGGATGCTCTACTTCCAATCTGCCAGCTCCATAAATGTCATTGTTCCTCAAGATATGGCTCTCACTCTTGTCACTCTGTGTCCTATCTTTGAGCAATCAAATTTGTGCCTGAACCTTAACTGGTATGAACATAAGCACAAAAGTCAAGAATTCTTCTTTCATTTTCTGACAACTGAGAAAGGTAGTTTACATGCACAAGATAGGGAAGGAGAGGCAAACAAACAATGGTACAAAGTTCATTAAAGAATGAAGATGCCCACAAGTTTCTGGGAGGCCTAAAGAAAGAAGGCTTTTACACTAAAATGTAGAGATGAAGAAAAGGAGTAAATTGTGGGTCAAAATGGGGTCAGAACAGAGGCCTAATATATCCCATATTCCCCCCTCTTCTCCCTCTGCCCTCAAAACCCATACCACAATAAATCAGACAGTGATGGGGAGCTTCCTTTCCAGCTCAAAGGACTGTGGGTTCATGTTTGTTATCGTTTACTCTAGAAACTGCTCTGAATTACCCACAGGCCTCAAACCAATAGAGCTTTGTTTTGCTATTGCACTGAAACCTCAACTACCTGGTGGTTTCCAGATCTTTATTTCACAAAGCATTTAGCTATATGCATGTCAAAAAGAACTTTGCTTCTGATCATCAATACTTTCCGAAGGTCATAAGCCTGTGTTTACGACAGAAACTTGAAAGGTATGTATCACTGACACAGGGCCTGAAACACATTTAGTAGTAGCCACTTGGTTACACTGTGCACAGATACATAAAGAAGTCAACTGCTGCAAAGTCAAATTTTTCTTTCTGCTTTTTAATAAAGAACTAGTAAATCTATAATCCCAGTTCTGAAACATGAGGATTCCTAGTTCAAGCCCAGCCTGGGCAACTTAGTGAGACCATGTCTCAAAAGAAAAAACAAAAAGGAGTGGAGATTTATTTCAGTGGTAGAGCACTTGTCTAGCATATGTGAAGGCCCTGGGTTCAATTCCCAGTACTGCAAAAAACGTAAAACTAATTAATGCACCATATAATTCTATTCCTGCTCCACAAGCTGAGCTGAACAGCTGAAAGCAGAGACCACGGGGAAATCCAGGATACCGGTTAATTTTTCTAAGATTTTTCTCACAGACATACAATGAAGTATATATGAATGCTTTAGGTGCTGTTACCAGCAAGCAGTTACTGACATGATCAATAGCACGGCACACAAAACCAAAACTTCAGCATTTTATAAGATGTTCTGGAGGCATTTTCTTCCACAGTCTCAAAAGGTTTTAGGGATCAGAGAAATGAACTCCAACTATCAGTTTAGAATGGAAACTACCCTGGTAAAATAAAACCTCTGAATCTCTATGGTCTTTGACAGACTCACTACAAAGAGACAGTTGCAGGGATTCAAGATCTTAAAGGAAACAATGTCAACAGGAATTTCTTTGTGGGCGTATACTTTACAATTTTGTGACTTGCTGTTCCACTTTATTTTTCAACTTTAATCAGTATTTACTTTCTCCACTAGGTCTTTAAACAGAAAGCAGACTGTGGTGAAATCATATTTCAAATTGTAAGTCCCAAGCCAACATCTTTCTTTCAAACGTTTTAATGAGTTTCAGGAAATTTAACTTCAAGTCTACATGAAGTGTGTTAGTAAGTGACAGTCACATTTTTCTGGTTTCCACTAAGCCTCTCCAAACTAAAAACTTTAGGCAAGAGTCTATCAAAATTTCGAATTAATCATTGGAAGAAACATTTGGGTCCCCTAACCACAAAAAAATTAAAATACCAAATAAGATATATCCTGCTACTGAAGGAAATTCCAAGCACATTTGATATTTAAGACCTTTTCTACAAGCCAACATCTTTCTTTCAGACAAACGTTTTAAAGAGTTTCAGGAAATTTAACTATTATTTGACATCCCAGAGAGAACACTTGGAGTGTATGTTTATATTTAAAACAATACACAGAACATACTAATTTTATATAAAGATCATGGCACATACTGAATTGCTTTTGTTCCTGACAATTCCCCCAAGGAAATCCATGAACATGATCAGTTGCTTCATCTTTTTAGCTTTCTCTAGCTGGTTCAAGCTATCTAGCCCTCAAGGACAAGTTAACACAGCTTGCAAGTTATTTCCCCAGAAAAAAGAAATCCAGCAGCCCACCAAAACTGTCAACAGCCCTTCCCAAACTTACCAGTGCCATAGGGAGGATGCAGCTGATGGCAGTGAGCATCAACGGCCTGAAAAAATACAGGTGGTAGTTTCAATTTTTATTTAAAATTCTTACTTGCCAACTGCCTGAAATCTTTTAAGGCTACATGAATGAGTCTTCATGCCTCAGCCTCTGTTAAGCCACTCCGTGGTCCAATCACATTTTTAACAAACACTAGTGGTCATTCACTAAAATGTAGAGATGAAGAAAAAGAGTGAATTGTGGGTCAGCTTCTGATCTTGGGGTAGAAGGGGAYATGATACAGGAAATCTAGCCTAAAGAGGTCAAGATGGATGGATTCAGGTCTTAGGAGGTCAAAGAAGGGAAGGACATAAGAAGGTAATAAAGGGGTAAGAGGGAGAAACAAGGTTAAGGCACAGAGACAAAGGAATAGGTAAACACCAGTATAGGATGGGGAAAAATGAGCGTGGGTGGTGGTGGTATAGAGGATGTCCCAGAGAGCTTCTGAGTTAATAGACAAAGCTTATCCCGAAGTCTATTTAAGTGGTGGAGCTTCACTTTCCCCATACTTCACACCTACATATTCTCAGTCTCTATAAAGGTTAAATCTCAGGCACCTAATCATAACTTTACCCCCTTTCACTTTATAGGCTCACTAGAAGGATGACTGACTTAACTGAAGCACCCACATTATACTTGCTTCAAATCCGATTAATAAAAACAAATTTGAAAATTTCTCACTAGTCTCACTACTATGGTTGCCGATCATATATGCAAAATATAGTAATATAGTAATGAAAACAAAGTCATTCTTTGACCGTAAGCGTACTTTTTTATTATTATGAAAAATCTCAAAACATCTACAAAAGTAAAGAAAATAATAAAAACCATGTATCTATCACCTAGCTCTAACATGAACTTGTGGCCAGGCCCACTGTGTCTCCATTCCTACCCTCCAGATTACTTTGAAGCAAATCTTAGCCAGCATATCTTTTTAGGGTGCATTTAATTGAAAACCCTCTGGGAAGTACTTAGTACAAAATCCTAGTTTCAGTCCCTTCTAGAATTTCCAGGGATGCATCTCATACAGCATTTCAGCAGATGAAGGTCAATTCTAGCAAATACAATCAAAAGAAATGTAGATGGGAGCCAGTAGCAAATGAACCACACACAATAAGTAAAAGTTGAATCTCTATTCCTACAACTACAATCCCATCTTTTCAAATGTTATTTCAAACAATATTTTGTCTCTTCCCACCAGGCAAAAGAAAAGGAATACTAAATACCAGCTAGGCAGTACATCTGTGTCTCTCCTCTTCTCCAAAGGGAGGACACCTAAGAGGCCAGCACATCTTAATGACAAAGCCACAGATTTCAAAAGCAAGTATCAAAGTACAGTTTCTACCTGTGGACTGCTAACCTAAGCTATCCACTCTGCTTTGCTCAGAACACATAATCCAAGGCTGGGGACGTACCTCAGCGATAGAGCATGCACTTAAAATGCATAAGGCCCTGGTTCAATTCCCAGCACCACCACCACCACCACAACAAAAAAACATAATCCAGTTTTTATAACTTTTATGAAAAACCTCATAAACAACAAGGAACAGAATGCAAGCTCCTGGAAGGCGGAGTTTTTGTTTGTCTGTTTTGCTTTGTTTCCTTTTCTAACATATTCAAGCATCCGGGGCAATGTCTGTACCATCTGTTAAGACCACCCTCTGCTTGTCTCCTAGTAGTCCAGCCTCCAGTCATCACATACCCACAGCCTTCTAAGTGCTGGCAGACCACAAGACCATCCAAGCCTTCAGCAATGCTCAATCTAGTGACACACCCAGATAAAGTTCCTCTATAGAAGGTAAAAAAAGATGGGGCACTAAGATGTCCTGAGGTTAGCAGGAAAAGCAGAGATGCTGATAGAAAGTTTGAGGCAAAATTCAAGTATATGGGTTAGGGAGAAGAGCAATATAAAGTTGTTCTTAAGGTGAGTTTGAAGAAGTCACTGTTTTTCAATAGAACAAGATAATCAAAGATATCTGCAGTGGCTCTATCAGAAAAATCTGAAGTAGAAGTAGAAAAGGTTATATTATTTATAAATACTTCTCTTATCATCCTAAAAAGTGAAAGGACCAAAATTAAAGGTAAAGAAACCTTTAAGTACTTTTAAGAAAGCACTCAGTAAATTTACTGAGAAACAATTTTTAACCTATCCCAATTATCAACGAACAAAGAAAATCCAATGGTTCATAAAAATCACTCTGATGGGTAACGTGATATACACAGGTAATCCCAGTGGGCTTGAGGCAGAGCCAGGAGGACTGCAAGTTAAAAGCCAGCCTCAGCAATTTAGCAAAGCCCTAAGCAACTTAGTGAGACCCTGTCTCAATAAAAAAGTAAAGGGCTAGGGATGTGACTTAGTGGTTAAGTGTCCCTAGGTTCAATCCCTGATACCAAAAGGAAAAAAAAAAAAACATTGATAAAAAGGAATGATACTGCTATCACATTCCTCTCCACCATTATCAGTCTTCCTATCCAGGAGAAATGTGTTCCAGTCATTTGTCTAGATTCTTCTATTGATTACTTACTCCATTCATTCTATTTTCTTCTTTTTAATTTTTATCTTCAAGTAACTAATTCAAAAAAGAATTTCTACCATGCAGCTCTCTTTCCATGGTAGAAAGCTACAAGGCTCTCGGTTCAATTCCCAGTACCAATGTCGCCCCCCAACACACAAACACAAAAGGGAAATAAATTTGGGGAATCCTAACATGCCTGAAAACATGTTTACTTGCAATGAAGATTCTAAATTTTAAATCCCCCACCCCACCCCCCAGGGCCAGGCACAGTGGCACTCGCCTGTCAATCCCAGCAGCTTGAGAGACTGAGGCAAGAGGATTTTGAGATCAAAGGAAACCTCGGCAAAAGTAAGGTGCTATGTAACTCAGCAAGACCTTATCTCTAAATAAAATACAAAATAAGACTTGGCTCAGTGGTTGAGTACCCCGGAGTTCAATCCCTAGTACCAAATAAATACATAAATAAATAATCCCCCCCCCAAAAAAAAAAATCACCTCTCCCCCCTGCAAGACTTTGAAGAGCTGGGCATGGTGGCACTCAAGCCTTTTAATCCCAGCAACTGGGGAGGCTGAGGCAGGAGGATTGAAAGTTAGAGGCCCACCTCAGCGATAACCGAGACTATGCAATTTAGCAAGACCCTGTCTTAAAAAATAAAAAGGGCTGTCGTGTGGCTCAGCGCCCCTGAGTTCAATCCCCTGTACTGGAAAAAAAAAAAAAAAAGATTTTGAAGATTGTTATTCTACTGACTTCTGTTTGTCACTCCTCCTGATGAGATGTCTGATTTCCATTTCTTATGGAAGACTTGGTATATTGTTATTGGGTCTTTATTTAGCCTTCTGAACAATGGAAAGACCCTTTCAATATGAAAACCATAGGCTGCGCCTCTTTTTAGATCCAAAAAAACTTTCTTTTTATTTCATTGCCAACATTTTCTTCTCTTTAATAATTTTTGTTTTTATGTTCCAAAAATTCTGATAGATGCTATATTTCCTGCATTGATATCTCCTTTTTCCTACATATATTTTTGCCTGTACTTTGAGAATGATGTTTCTTTTCTCTTCCAGTACTGGACACTGAACCAGATGCCCTTTATCACTGAGCTACATCCCCAGCCCTTTGATATTTTGAGATAGGGTCTCAATAAGTCACGAAGACTGGCCTTGAAACTTATGATTCTCCTGCAGAAGCTTCCTGTAATATCTGGGATTACACATGTGTGCCACATGCTGGCAAGAAAAATCTTCTTGGACTGGCTGGGGTTATGGCTCAGCAGTAGAGTGCTTCCCTAGTGCATGTGAGGTACTAGTTTCAATCCCCATCACTATACAAAAATAAAATAAATAAAGGTTATTGTGTCCATCTACAACTAAAAACCAAATATTAAAAAAAAAGAGAAAGATCTTCTCATCTATCTATGGAATATTTTTTTTAATTTAGCAAACTTATTAACTTGTCCCATGAGCTCTTTTTCTTTTCTTTTCTTCCTGATGGAAGCTGATAGCTTTATGGATGTCATATCTTGAATATCCTAGAGAATATTAAATAGGGCTGGGGATGTGGCTCAAGTGGTAGCGCGCCATGCCTGGCATGCGTGCGGCCCGGGTTCGATCCTCAGCACCACATACCAACAAAGATGTTGTGTCCGCCGAGAACTAAAAATAAAATATGAAAAAAAAAAAAGAGAATATTAAATAGTCCACTATTAAAGATAAGCAAAATTGCCAGGTGTGGCGGCGCACACCTGTAATCCTACTGGCATGGGATGCCAAGGGAGGAGAATTCCAAGTTCAAAGCCAGCCTCAGCAACTTAGTGAGGCACTAAGCAACTCAATGAGACCCTGTCTCTAAATAAAATATTAAAAAGGGCTGGGGGGTCTGGGGATGTGGCTCAGGCGGTAGCGCGCTCGTCTGGCATGCGTGCGGCCCGGGTTCGATCCCCAGCACCACATACCAACAAAGATGTTGTGTCCGCCGAGAACTAAGAAATAAATATTAAAAAAAAAAATTCTCTCTCTCTCTCTCTCCCCTCTCTCACTCTCTCTTTAAAAAAAAAAAATTCTCTCTCTCTCTCTAAAAAAAAAAAAAAAAAAAAGGGCTGGGGATGTGGCTCAGTAGTTAAGTACCTCTGGGTTCAATCCGTAATACCAAAAAAAAAAAAAAAAAAAAGATAAGCAAAATTATCTACTGTCTGTTTTGGCTAAAGTTAATTTTTCTATGTCTCTTTCATTTTGCATGTTTTCTTGGTTAGCCCTTCACATTGAGAAACAAAGGGTCATGGGCTGGGGATGTGGCTTAAGTGGAAGCGCGCTCGCCTGGCATGCGTGCGGCCCGAGTTCGATCCTCAGCACCACGTACAAACAAAGATGTTGTGTCCGCCAAAAACTAGGARATAAATATTTAAAAAAAAAAAAAARAGAGAGAAACAAAGGGTCACTATTTAAAAAAAAAAAAGTACTGATGTGTGCTACAACTGAATAAATCTCAAAAGTA